ATATACTTGGCTGGAAAAAACTGTTACTACCCCTACAAGAGGTAGTAACGTACTGGACTTACTCTTCTACTACAATATAAGTCCCCCATCAACCCTAGTAGGTTCTGAGTTTTCAGGGAGCGACTACAAAACAGCACTGTGTGCACTGCCACTTCCACCAGGTAGCAATGCAGCCCCTACCCCTACTTTACAACAAATAACATACAGGGACTACATTAAGGCAGACTGGACTTTAGTGAAATGAATGTTGAGACCCTCATGCTTATACTCTGTGATCCCGTTGTAGACAATAAAAGTCTCAAAATTTAAGAAGCAATTTATTCAACCAAACCATCGAGCGAAACTGCGGAGACTTTCAACAAGTTACTTCAGATTACACTACTTTAGTACACTAGGGTCAATATTTAGTACTCTTGGCTCCATCTCACGAGCTCATAACTTGCGTATGAGAAATGAATAATGCACCGCACTAGCCAGCACCATCAGAGTAGGTGCTCTCACAGAAATCCTAAAGAAAAGAATGATTCGCCAAAGCCATAAGGTTCCTCTCCTTGTAAACAAGGGTAAACTATACAGCAACCACGCAGACATGTGTGAACTGTATAAAGAGACATTCGCGGCTAACTAACTTAATCCCATAACCCCACTTTTCGGTTTACAATCTACAGTGGAACTCCCTCCTTCTTCAGCGCTGAAACAAATCAGTACAGATTACTTCACTTACTTCATCAAGCCATTAAAACTGTTAAAAGCTCTAGTAGTGCTGGTACTGACGGCATACCATCGTATTTTTATAAACACGGTGGTTCTGACATTTCCTTATTATTAATTAAGATCTTTACAACGTCCCTAGAAAGCCAAACCTATCCAGACAAATGGAAAGCCACATTTATAATACCCAAACACAAATGCGGATTAAAAACTGAAGTTCACAACTATGGGAGAATCAAAATTACACCCATAGTATCTAGAATTATGGAAAGAATATGTAAGGGTGATATTTTCAAACGTGTGCTCAGCTACAATATTGTAGGACCCAGCCGACATGGGTCCCTAAAATTCAGATCATGCATGATCTAATAATAATAATAGTATATTCTCATTTTGTACATGAGGGACGCCAGTTTACAGGCATCATCAATATGATAAATTACATATACGATTAGCAATCATACTCAATAATAATGTTTTAATAAAATACATATTTTTTCCTACCTGTGTAGGACACACCAAATGTACAGGCATGGATAAGCATTATTTAAATTCCATAAATTTGGTTCATGGTTAAATTACATGGTTGCTGACGTTTTTGTCTTTGGTTTGTGGGAACAATATGATAACCAGTCATTCAATGGAGCACATCATGAAATATAGAAATATTGTCTTCGCATTAACAAAAAACCCAAGTAAGTTTTGGATGGATTAAAAATACTTGGGAAAAAATAAAGCTTCAAGTAATTCCACAATATAACTTAGGTGTGTACAAATCCGAATCTCATTTTTGATTTATATCCAAATTGGGTAATAAGAAAGCTATTTTTACAGATACGATCAGTTAAGTTATAAGTTACAATCGTGACGTTTTATTACAAATTGATTGTCAATGCAGTTGAAGATTGAACGATCAATTCATTGTTGTTTGCTCAAAACCAACTTCCCCGATTTTCGCGGAGGCATCAATACGACAGTCATTGTCTCATCGGTCGCTGTTCAGAAAGAAGTCAGGAGAAAACCGTCAGAAGTAATATTGTGATTTATTATTGTAATATTTGTTCACAGACCCTAGTCATACGTGATTTATAAGTTGGTGTAACAATAAAGAATCCTCGAGTCAACAATTGGTGTTTTGGTTTTTTCGTCCGTTATTACTAAGCGTTTCTGAGAAACTTCAAGGGACAGCGTGAGCCCGAGCGTAGGAAGAGCTGGGCATCAACGGTTTACGAGACATGGCTGACATTGATACTTTTACATTGGTATAAGAGTATATTCCACAAATGTAATCCAGGTTGCGTCGTGGGGATAGTTAATTCGTTATTAACTAGGCAACTGAAAGATATGGGACCAATAATGTTTGCAGATCATTTGTCATTGTAATTGGTCAAATATTCACATTAATCATTCTCATTCAAAAAGTCAAATGGAAGCTGAAATGGTGAGAGAAAAAAGAAGACAAACAACAGCAATGCAAAAGAAAGCAACGGGAGTCTTTCTTTACAGTGACGTATTCTAAAATCTAGAACAGCTTACCCTAGAAACAAGGACCTGTCACTCTATTATAACCTTCAAATGCTTGCTATATAAACTGTTTCATCCCAATGACTATCCCAACCAGACCGCTCCCCTTATTTCTAAAATGCATCGGTTATTAAAACACTATAACGCTTAGACTCATTAATATATATTATGGCACTAAATAAACTATAAGACTTCGCATAAACATATGAAAACACAACTACAATATAGGCGAATGTTCACTATACTGTAATATGCAATCGACACAAACATTTGTATATGTATATAACATTAATGTTCTTTTCATGTTCACATACTTTCTGTTTCTGGTATTCTGCTGCTGCGTCTACTCTTCCATTTACCTTCTTTTCGGGGTTGAACAACCCTACATTTAAACTGAAACGAAGCTGGACTTCAGATCATTTAGGTAAATTCACACGTCTCAACTCAAGCTACTGGCTCATAAGCACTCAGATTCCATGAACGACCCCATGCTACCATTCGAAGACGCTGGCCAATATTCTGTACAAGGAGTATTCATGTTCTGATATAAAGAAGCAACAGGCCTTCAAACAGTTTTCAATGTCTTACTCAACGTACGTGTACAGTCTGTCATGCAGACACAAATGGCACCAATGGAGAGTTCTGGAATCGACTCGGCCCCATTTGATGCCGTAAAACAATCCAACATGACCTTATTTAGTTTTCGTATCCACGATCAAATTTCTTTCCTGTTTATTAATGATACTTGCACTTACCTATTTCATTACAATTTAATGATTCACCTCAGCACTTTTACTTTTCTAAAACAGCTTTCAATCCCTTGTAAACGTTGTACTTACCTCAATATTGGTTGGTTATCGTATGCCGACAACCACGGGATGAAAACGAAACGAAGTCGATTTTCCCGCTCAACCTGGAGGACAACTGTACAATTCAATAACTATACAGCCTAGTTCAGACAATGTGTATTTATATATATATCAAATATTTAACTGTTGAAACATTATTAACTTGTAGACAATCTACGATTTGATATTATATCATACTTGATCGTGCCTGTAAAAATGGCATGCATTTTCATGTAAATTTATATGTTTATATGAGAATATACATTATTATTATTATAAAAATACGATAAGAGTGCTGAGAAAATGGAATAAATATATCGCTGATCTCAACATAATACATCAATAAACTTTAAGTCAAGGATGCTATTCACAGCAAAGTTATATGGGAGAATTAACTTCAAGCTTTATTTTTCCCAGATATTTGTATTACATTCATCTAATGTCTGACTTTTTTGTTAATGCGAAGACAATATTTCTATATCTCTTTATGTGTTACACAAACAGACTATTTAGCAGACTGTTCCGAGTGACTCCAATGTCAGAAAGAACAACCAAACTGTAAATTCACCATACATCGAAATGTGTGTAATTTATTTATTAACTTATCCAAGCCTGTGCAATTGGTATGTCCCTGCACAAACAGGAATAAATATATTATTATTAATTATTGACTTGTCCAAGCTGTAGGTGATGTTTGTAAGTTTTATGTGGAGATTGGTCATGGTAGACTTGTATCTTGGTCATACAGTTCGCTAGATCATGAACTAAACTTGGTTACAAGGATGCAGCTAACACGGCTAAAATAATGGAGACAAAATACATAACTTATGTCCGTTAAATGGATCCAATTAGGCTCGTGTGATGACCATAAATTAGGGTAGAATGAAAGCAGCAATTTTCACTTTCTCGTTCATTTGGAAAATGGCTGACCGCAACATATTCCTTGAAAAGTAGTAGAAATAGGCGCACTTACAGTCCATTAAATACTGTGTAATGGCTGCGAGGTCACTTAAGTTGGTCAGATGAGTAGGTCGGGGTTAATTAAATTACCGGAATATAGGGACTTATCTAGTCCGAGAACTAACAACCCTTGTAATTTCAGTAATCTGAAAAAGTACTCGGCCACTAGAATGCATCCATATGGATACAATCTCACAACCACATAGAATAGGGTGAAAGCATTAAAGTCTTATGTAATTGGATGGGAAGTTATTGGTGGCCGGATCCGTATTGGTCGATTCACCACTGGAGGCCTGTGGTGGGAATGAAACTTCACTACTGTCCATACGTAGAACGATGGAGTAAAGCTGTTGGAAGGTTTAGAAGTACTTTCAATACAACATTATTTACAGCAGTAAATCTTGTCTCCAACATCATCTAGTTAACAAGATAGAACCTCTTTGTCGCATGAAATCATCATACTTTGTACGGAAGAACATACGTTTGCCTACTGACTTGATGGAGACCCACCGCCCGTGTCACACTCGAGTCGAGGAGTCACTCCGGTTCCAGAAGTATATAGGTATACTCTTCTGTGATTTAACTTTGCGGTGGCTGTAGGACTAGTTGCTAGTCTAAATCCCGATTTGCCATATTTTCAGGGTTCGGAAATTAGTTGGTTAGATTTCTGGATTACTGCATGCGTATTGTCTACGACAACTTATGCAGTGGTGGGCTCATAAAACTGGTATTTTTGCAAATTGATTGGAAGGAGGGTTTTGATGCACAATGACAAGCTGACAGAAAACCACGGTGTCTACTTTGTCCTGTAATATTTTCTCCAGTAGCACCCACTTATTTTTAATAATTCTGATCATTAGGATGGAAGCACTTTAAAAATGTGAAGTTGATTATGACATTTTTGGTTATCAGAATTTAATCACAGCATGCTAACTGGTCATAAACGCATAAGACATTGGACTTCCATTGTCCACGTATGATATATTTGAGGCGCGTGGTTTGTGTCAAGTGACACGACCACAATTTCTAGGTCGTACAGTCCTCAGAGTGGTAGATTGTCTGGAGTTGGGGTTTGAACACTGCTAAACAATATGCTAGACTCAAAGACGAATAATTTTAGTGCTCTCGGGTTTCCCTACCCAATTTATGTAGTTGACGTCTTGGATAAAAATTCGTTGGTTGTTGCCGGTGGTGGTGGCGCAGTAAAAACTGGTGTTCCAAACAGAATTGACATTGTCAACCTCTATCGAAATGAAAAAAATGATCCAACTCCTGTTGACTGCCAGGTATTGCGGTTTTTTGGATTATCTTTTAGTAAACTGGAATGTGTGCGTGCAATTACTTTGGGCGCACTGCATATACTTAGGGGCAGACTGTAGATAACTGTCCCACTTTCTGCAATGCGCCCGAAGAAACTGCTAGCTGAGTTGTGTGAGCAGGTCCCTGTTGAGTTTTTTATTTGCATACCTCCAAGTGACAGTACTCAAGATATGCATATAGAACCGAAAGGCCCCATAAAATTCGATTTATCTGGGTTAACCTCCACTCAGTCATCCTGGGAGACGAACAAGTGTGGTGTAGCTCCGGGTGAACTAATTTAATATCCAATGTTCGCTAAAATGGGTTTACACCTGAATCCTGTCTGACATCATATAGCATTCAATGAGCACATAATTTCTAAGCAGTCTCTATGATGGCAGCCCTATTTATATCACTAGTTTTTAATCAGTGGAAAAATATTGTTATCACAACAAGTGTGTGCGATCTGTTAATCTAAGCTTTCAGTCCGCTGAGCCAGACTATCTGGGGCTGCGTATAATAGCACAAAATTTATTTTACGGGGAATGCCATGGGATATCCACTTAAACTGATATTTTATCTTGCGTAGTCTAATCAGTTGTTTATGTCCACAACCACGTAAGAACTATATAAAGGTGTTATTCATATAAGGATAAAACTTGGGCACTGTGGTAGACTTATAGGATTTGGTCTACCCCAAAGAAACGACTATCCACATCATACTAGGTAATAGTGTACAATCATAGTATAACTGGATAAAATTTTATTTTGATATAATCGCAGTGTTGTAAAGTGATATCTGATGACGTTTTAAGCACAAGTTATTGCTCATAATCATATCAAAGCACTCATACAACTCTCTTGCTTCATGGGATTTGTAGACATTTTAGGGTAGGCCACGACGCAGAAGTCCTTTCATGGAGCACCTGAAAGAGGAGCTTTTTTCTTATTACCTTGGAAAGTAATTCCAGTCACATGTAGCCTTTTAAAGGGTATTAAGATTTGTCTACTGTGCTCAATTAAGGCTTATTTGCTGGCTATAGATCACTGTAGCGTACGTGGGTGCATGCAGTTCCGTTGACTAACTTTTTATGACTCCTCGGAAAAGAGGGGCAAAATGCTTGACTTATTGGTCGTGTGAAATATCTTCCCCTCCCTACTAGTAGTATTACTTCCTTCGCAGACTTTTATAGTAAGGTGCATTATGAAGATGATTAGTAAAGCCTCATCTAGCTGGAAACAATCGTTCCAGGCAGTAGAACTTGCTATCTGCTACTGTGATTATGTCAGGATAGCAATTCAGTTGCGACGCCGTGTTTCCTCCTTCAAGAACATGCGTAAACTGTCTCAACCGTTGGTGTAGTCATCGTTTCATCGTCACTACTTCATACTTAAGTTATCATAGATCTCTGTTGAAGTCTTGTATTAATAATCTAGTTGTGAGCTTAGCTGTACGGTTTATACACTTGTTACACTTCGATCTAATTTTTTTTCACTTTTATTATGAGAACTTTGTCTTTTACGGTTGCTCTTTTCTAGCGTTCTGGAGGTTTGGACACAGGCACAGAAGCTGTTATGAGTCTTACTGTCATTACTCCTGGAGATGGTGGTTACATCGCGAGTTTGGAAGGTCAGAAGTGTGTAGAATACATAGCCCATTCAAAAGTTAATCTCGTTGACACACCCTTAAATTCATCAAGTGTTGAGACCAATGTGTCTTCTACAGACAAGACAGATGATATAAGTTTGCGTCGAAGAAAAGGTATGTTTCTTTGTGTTCCTATCTAAATGTTTTGGTCTATTCATGGAAACTCACCAGTAGGGTTTATGACTGAATTATTCGAATTTACTCTCAGTTGTTTACTAGTCTAATGAATTGCATTCTACTGTTTATCGATATACCAGTGCTTTATTTTTCTGTTGATCTCTGATCAGTATTTAAAAGATGATAACTGTTTAGAGTTATTGTCGTCACATATTCCCATTGTTGTAATCAAAGGCGCCCCATAGTCATATGCGTGGGTTCTGTGTAGTTTGCTGTTGTTGTAAATTACTATGAAAGCTACTACAACTAACAGAAATGAGTCAATTATGAGACGAATAAGTTAAAGGTATCAAAAGCAAGTAGACGGTATTTTTATGATTCATATTTCAAATAAGAGGTCCAAATGAACATTTGAAGAAATACAATTTTTTCATCGCAATTCTTGACAAATTAGTTAATTCAGCAAAAGGCTTCATTTGCTGAAGTAAAACAGTACACTTGTTTTTTGGAGTTGAATAGTTTCTGTTTTTCGTAAGGGGTTTAAGGGAAGTAAATCTGAACTTGAGAAGCACTGATATTGAAACTAAGGTAGTGTTATTATTATTGTATCCTTTAGTTCCTAGAGGAACATAGGGCTTCAGCTGCGCACCTCCATTGACTTCGGTTTTCTGACAACTTTTTCAACCTGCTCCAGGTCTGTCCACATGCTTTCATCTCCTCCTCGCATGACCTCCTCCAAGTCACCCTTGGACGACCAACTCGCCGCCTCCCTTTCGGGTTCCACTCGAGGGCTTGTCTAGTGATGTCACTTGATGGTTTCCTCAGCGTATGGCCAATCCATCTCCATTTCTTTCTGCCTATTTGTTTCACAATCGGTTCCTGATTGGTTCGCTCCCAGAGATCCCTGTTGCTGATCTTTTCTGGCCATCTGATCTTGAGTATTGAGCGGAGACAGTTGTTAATGAAGGTTTGAAGTTTGTTTGAGATGCTCTTTATGACTCGCCAAGTCTCTGATCCGTATAGTAGCACTGACTTCACATTGGAGTTGAAAATCCGGATCTTATTTTTGATGCTGATTGCTGTTGACCTCCACACAGATTTGAGAGTAATGAAAGCTTGTCTTGCTTTTCCGATTCTGGCTTTGATGTCCTCGTCAGTTCCGCCTGTAGTTGAGACGATGCTTCCCAGGTAGGTGAAGGAGGTTGTTTCTTTCAGGTTCTTCCCATTTATGCTTATTGTGGTCTGTTGTTGCTGTTGATGTTGGCTAGGAATCTTCATTATCTCTGTTTTATCTATGTTCACGTGAAGTCCTATCTTTGATGCTTCTTCTGCCAACTTGTTACTTTTCACTTGCATATCTTCCAGTTTATGGGAAATCAGACATATATCATCGGCGAAATCCAGATCCTCCAAGTCTTTTGTGTCAGTCCATTTTATGCCTGTTCCCTCGTTGGTTGCCGTTGTCTGTCGCATTATCCAATCAATTGCAATCAGGAAGATCATTGGTGATAGTAGACAGCCTTGCCTCACTCCCGTCCTCACTTCGAAGGCTTCCGTAAGTTTCCCGTTGTGGATTACTTGGCATGCAGCATTGTCGTATAACTGTTGGATGAGGTGTATAATTGTCGATGGGACCCCGTAGTAGCGAAGTAGTTTCCAAATGACCTCTCGATCGACGCTGTCGAAGGCCTTTTCAAAGTCGATGAAGTTGAGATAGAGAGGTGACTGCCATTCCAAGCTTTGTTCAATGATGATCCGTAGAGTGGCGATTTGATCAATACATGATTTGTTTCTCCTGAATCCAGCCTGTTCCGGACGAAGTTTTTCATCTAGGGCTTGTTTGATTCTCTCCAGGATGATGCGACTTAGTATCTTGCTTGGAATGGACAGAAGCATAATTCCACGCCAGTTTTTACATTGACTTAAGTCTCCTTTCTTTGGAAGTTTGAATAAGTAACTGTTCTTCCAATCCTCGGGTACTTTGCCCTCTTTCCACACCTTCTCCAGTAGTGGTGTCATCAAGTCCGCTGTTGTCTCTGGGTCTATTTTCAAAGCCTCTGCTGGGATTCCATCTGGTCCCGGTGTTTTCCCAGTTTTAAGCATCTTGATTGCATTCAGGACTTCTGATTTCGTCGGGGGGTCAGTGTTCACTGGTAGTTCTGCTTCCGTTGTTGGTATTGCTGGACGTGTTGTAGGTGGCGGACGATTTAGAAGTCTTTTGAAGTGTTCAACCCAGTGCTTTCTCTGTTCCACCTCTTTGGTGATTGACTTTCCATTGTCGTCCTTTATTGGCTTAATCTGTGTCGAACGTTTGCCCGAAAGGTTCCTAGTTGTTTGGTAGAGTGTGGCGAGGTCTCCTTTGCCTGCAGCTTGTTCTGCTTCGTTTGCCATGGTTTCATAATATTTTCTTTTGTCTTCCCTGGCACTTTTCTTCACTCTTTTGTTCAGTGTATTGTAGCTTGCATTCAGCTCCTGTTTTTGTTGCTCGTCCGTGCACTGGATAATCTTTTGCTTCACTGTCCTTCTCTCTTCTATTAGTTTCCAAGTGTCCGTAGTGAGCCACTGTTTGTCCTGTCTCTTTTTTCTGCCTAGAATTTCTATGCAGGTTTGGCTCCACACCGTTTTCAAGTTGTTCCAGTGCTTTTCAACGCCGACCTCTTCGCTAGTGTTGATTTGTGTCTCGGCTTTGTCCTTTATGCTTGCAATGAAGATGTCCTTTGTAGCCTGGTCCTTCAGATTTTGAGTGTGGTAGTGTGGTACAGTTTAAATAATTAGGAATGATCTTCCGTCGGTAGATTGATTAAGGTAAGAATAGTTTATCCCTGCTTAGTTGTAGATTGTGAAGATAATATAAGCGTAGGGTTGCATTAAGTTTGGCTGTAATGGTTTACTATCATTTATAACTGCTTAGAAGAATCATATGGTCCACATAGATTATTTTAATCCTAACTCTTCCGGAGATCTTACTGCAGCTAGTTCTTGAGTAGCTAACATTGACACCATTTGATCATCCTAGTAAAACGATTACCTTTTGGGAGTCACATTTTCTACTTAATGCATCCTAGTTAATCTTTGTGGAGTAATTCAGACAGGTTTATAGTTCCATCATATGTAGTGAAGTGGTCCTTCTCGACGGCCACTAGACGTCTGTTTGACTGTATTATACCCAGCAGCTCATCAAAAAACTACGGTTTAGACAATCTAATTGACGATTTTCATATCACACCATTCACGCATGTTGTGCATTCGACTTTAAAAATCTTGCACTGATCACCTCTTCAAAATTCATTTAATTTTGATGATGACTGCTGACTACTCTGTAAATTTTGCGTTTTAGGGGGATCTGAGAAAACGGATGAATTAAACAAACCAGCTATTTCTCTGGAAAAAAATCCAGTGAAAAATAGTCTTAGTGAATCAATACCTTTAGAGTGGGAATTAACTAAGATTCGTGAATATACACTTATGCAACAGACTGCGTGTTCAGCTGATGATTCTGGCTCTGAATCACCCTCAGGTTCTGTTCCGGCAAGTCTGTCAGGAACACCAACATGTGTAACACATGGTGGTCCTGCTGGTACGTGGTTAGCTGTTGGCTCTGATAATGGCTCTGTATTTCTAATTAATCGTTATTCTCATCAACAAGGATGCCTTGCCAATGAACAACAGTTAGATGATCTCTCCTCCCAGGTATGTCATATGTTTTAACTTCGTATTACAATTTGTCTAAGTTAATTTATGCAAGACGTAACTCTCGTGTCTGACTGATCCAGTGGATGACGCTTTGGTGTCTTGGGTTCGATTATCAGTGAGAAAACCCTCATCCACTGGAGATACAGGTAAATCCAACTGACTGGTCCCAAATATGGTGAAATGCGTATCCTAGTGTCCAGTGATATTCACCTTGAATCGAATAACATTTAAACTACAAGGATTAGTTGTTTTGTCTGAATAATTACCCACGACTCTGTAATGACTAGAATTACTGTGAAACTGAAAGTTAGAGGGGGTCAATTTCCCACTGTATACGTTTTATTCGTTCTATAAATGCTTGGAATACAGATATAACTTAATATATGTTCTGCAGTAAGTTTATTTATCATGTTATGTGGTGTACAAAAACAAAACAAATGTCTCTGGTCTATAGACTCTCTGTGATGATTATCACAGGAAGTAAATTTAGCGTGTTTGTAGACCAGTTGAATCGATCGTGAAATGTTTCCTCCAACTCTCAAGTCGTGTTTTCTGAGAAGTAATATATGGTGGCTTCTCAGGGAGGTAGTTTTGCATATCATTGGTTATTGACAATACGTTTTTCTAATGGCTCAATAAATATGTGGTGTTATCTAGCACCGACTTCTTTTCTGTCCCTCTTTTGTTGCCCACCACCGTTCATAGTTATTGCAAAGACTCATTCAACTTGCATTTGAGAAGTTTTCACTCGTCGTCGCGTCCGGAGTCAGCTGGAATCAGTCTCCTTGTGTTTAGCAGTTTGGGTGAAGTAACAAAAATCCACTGGCATTTTCCAACCTTAATTTTAGATTACCAGTAGTCTTCAGCACTATGTCTGACTGCATATTATACCAGTCTTTCTCAGGTAGTAGAGTTTTACTGTTACTCTCAGATATGTATCTAGTTATTTCTTTAGATCAAAACCGTCATGTTTGGGGCGTAGCAACTTCGTAACTGACTTTCTGTGTGAGTTCAGTAGTAGGCATAGTTTACAAACTTATTTTAGAAGTCTAATAATGTTAGTACACTTCTAACAATGTGAATCACATGGTTGATTCTCATTACATTTAGTAGTGTTTGTAGCGTTTTACTAGTAAATATAACCGATAGTTTGGTGGTTGTTGAGTTGAATCTTCTATGTTATTTTAGTGCTTTTATCATCTGATATTACTTTTGAAAAATGCAAAATGCTAGTCAAATAATTTGCGTGAATTAATTCCACTAATTCCGCTATAAATCTTTTTATCCCTTTGAAACAGTCATTGATCCTGTATCCAGATGTTAGTGGTGGCCTCTCCACTGGTGTTTGCAGTATGGCTTTCTCTCATCCACATATCAGTAGTTCTAGTGATTCTACAACTTATCCGCTACTAGCTACAATATGCGACAGACCTGATTGGAGTACATTGCGTGTATGGCGTACTGATGGGCGATTTTCAAAATCTTTTCTACCTTTGAGTGATATAACATCAATGCGTTCATCATCAGTAAAAGGTCATCAACAAATTAAATCAAAAATATCAGTTTCTAAGCAAACTCTTGCAGATGGTCGGGGTGTTCGATTGAAAACATTTCTTAAAAGTGTAGATACTGATGCCTATGACAATTCATTTAAACTTCAGGATCAAATTTTATTCAGTCATTCAATAGAAAAACATCCATTCGCTATTGCTTCTTGTAGTTCTTTATCATGTAACAGTACGCCTCCACCCTCGCCAACTGCTGTTCCAACTACATCAACATCGGGTAAAGTAAGTTTTCCTTGTTAATCTGGATAATTAATTCACCATTAATGATTTGTGTTTTTATAAAATTGCTTGATGTGAATATTGCTCAGTTTCCAGTATAATTGTCTTTGCAAATGATCTGGGCATATTTAAATATATCATATTACTAGAATAAGCGACAAAATAAGTAAGGATGCTCAGTAGGCCATCTATAATTCCATCAAATGTTTGCCTTTATATATATGAGTATTTGATTCATTTTTGAACTGCATTTCATCTTGGCTTCGTTTCCCAATGATAATAAGCAAAATTAAAGACTCACATTTTGCCTATGTAGTGTGACCTGTTAGCAGAATTCATTTACTTCTATCTCACTGAGTTTTTGGTAGTCAGTGAGTCATTAAACCTATTGGTGTGAAAAAAAAACTGACATGTATTTGATTTTTGTTCTACGCCTGTCGAATACTAGTTGTGTGAATCACATGACAATATCCTTACACTCGTACAGTTTAGCTATTTAGGAGAATTTCGATCAATTCTTTGTAGAAAGCTGACAGTTAAACTGACAGGCTGTAATAATTCCTTTTGGATATTCGATGTGATATGATAAAAAAAATTTAACTTCCTGTAAATTTTTTTTTTTACTTGTCTCACAAGTCTTCCTGTGATAATCACAGAGGGATTAGCTTGACTAATATAGTATCTAAAGTCTTAGGCTCAATAATCATGCGTAGACTGAGTGGTGCTCGGGAAGCACAAACACGAGAGAGCCAGGCAGGCTTTAGACCAGGAAGAGGGTGTATTGATCATATCTTCACCCTCCGACAGATTCTAGAACATAGGAATTCCTACCGGCGTCCAACAGTCATTATATTTCTTGACCTAAAGGCAGCATTCGACTCTGTCGATCGGGAAGTTCTCTGGAGATGCTTGGCTGTAAAGGGAATTCCAAGAAAATATATTGCACTGATTAAGGAACTCTACTCGTACTCATACAGCCAGGTGAGGGCTTACGGCGAGCTGTCATCTGAACTGATGACGACCAGTGGTGTCCGTCAAGGATGCCCATTATCTCCTTTTCTATTCAACTTCATCATAGATGTGTTAATGGACTTAACCCTAGGTGACTTCAGTGACTCAGGGATTGACTTGCTACCGGGGAATAATCTCGTTGACTTGGAATATGCAGACGATATAGTCCTTCTAGGCGAAGACGCTGACGAAATACAGAGTCTTCTAAACACCTTGAGCCGCAATCTACGAGTGTTTGGCATGCGATTCGCTCCCGCCAAATCCAAGATGATGTTACAGGACTGACTGGACTACATCGACGCCTAGTTTAAAAATAGGAGGTGAAATGGTAGAGCACGTTGACCGCTTCACTTATTTGGGAAGTACCATCAGCTCCAATGGGTTGATCTCTGACGAAATCTCAGCACGAATACAAGGGGCTCGTTTCGCATTTGTTAGTTTACGCCGACTCTGGCGTAGACGAGATGTTCGAGTATCGACCAAAGGGCGGGTGTACTGCTCATCAGTCCGCTCCGTCCTCCTTTATGGTTGTGAGACCTGGCCACTGAGAGTGGAAGACATGAAAATGCTGGCTAGCTGTCTTTGATCATAGGTGCCTGCGTTCTATTTCCCGTGTAAAGTGGCATAATAAGGTGAGCAACATGGAGGTTAGGCGTAGAGTTCTAGGTAAACAGGGGAAATCAATCGACGAAGTCGTGAAGCTACAAAGACTGAGATGGTTAGGACATGTGTTACGTATGCCAAGCCATCGCCTCCCTCGACGAGCAATGTTAGCGGATATAGGGTCAGGCTGGAAAAAAGCTAGCGGCGGTCAAACAAAAACTTGGCATCAGTCAATGAAATCCACAACAGTTGGTCTTAGCCACGTAGGAAGGTGTAGACTTCCAGGCTGGGGTCCTCGGGACGGTAAAAATCTATGGTTGGAAACAATTGGTGACATGGCTCAAAACCGTTCTCAGTGGCGCAGATGCATCCACTCCCTGTGACTTATGATCTTCAATGAAACTGTTTTGTATTTCTTTATTACTCCTTTGTCTCACACCTCTGCTCACTGTTTCTATTATGCTTTTCTTGTACTTTCTTCTCTTGTTTCGCGTGCTACACGGAATGTGGCGACTTGAACTTCCGCACATTTGTGCAAAGTTCTATGTCGAAAACAGACAGACAGACAGACTTGTCTCACAACTAGCTTGCACCAACTTCTGTCTGACAATAGGAAGCGATGTTTTGAAGTTTACTAACTACTTCAAATGTCTTGACATTTGTACCAGTCATGCTGTCATGTATATGTGTGTCTTTTAGCTTCCATCATATTGCACCATTTAGGATACAATCGAGATGTCTTATTTTCTCTCTAGAGTCAAGTGGTTGCGAAATGTAATTATCAAAAGTTCTGGGTCTACGTAAACTGCAAGTACTTATTTAGTGTTGTTTATGTTCACTGCAGATAAGTGTCTGTCATCAACACCTGTCACCATCAGCTGGATATTGAAGATGAGATGACTGACCAGAAAGGATAGACAACAGGGAACTCTGGGAACGAACCAACTAAGAACCTGTCGCCCAATAAATACCCAAAAGGGAATGGAGATGGACACACTAAGGAGACCTTGAGCGATATCGCATACAAGGTAGGTCCTTGAATGGACATGAATGAGAAAATGAGTTTGATGTGGAGAAGATCAGGCGAAGAGGAACTGCCAACTTATGGCTAATCTTAGAGCCAGCTAAAAACGACTGCATAGAACTGAGTGGAATGGCCATAGGCTGCTGAAGCCCTATGTCCTACTTGAAACCCAAGCGAATAACGACGATAATTATTTTTCTAGGGTTAAAAACAAGAAGCTCAGCAAATATGTCTTTTCGGCGATGTCATCCTCAAGAGCTGTAGAATAGCATATATATATATATATATATATATATATATTAGTTCCTAGAGGAACAGGGCTTCAGCCAAACCTCTCCATTACTTTCGGTTCTCTGCCAACGTTTTTACCTGGCCCCACGTCTGCCTACATGCTTTGGTCTCCTCTTCGCATGCCCCCCTCTGTGTCACCCTCTCACTGGTCACCAACTCGCTGCTTCCCATTTGGGTTCCACTCAACAGCCTGTCAAGTGATGTCACTTGATGATTTCCTCAGATTATGGCCAGTCCACCTCTATTTCTTCCTGCATATTTGTTGCGCAATTTGTTTTTGATTGGTTCGCTCCTGGAGATCCCTGTTACTGATCTTTTCTGGCCATCTGGCCTTGAGCATGGGATTGAGCAAAAAAGCTGTTGATGAAGGTCTGTAGTTTGTTTGAGGTGCTCTTCATGACGCGCCGTATACATAGACAAAAGTTTGCATGAATACAATAATTATTTAATTCAATATAATAACGGACGAGACTAATGGTTATAATAATTTTTAGCTGGATACGAGAGTTCAAAAGTGTGGATGTAGATTACTAAGGAGAAAATATTTGCGTAATACGTAAAATAGCTGTTATAACGAAGTTAGTTGTGAACAGGATAAGCATGAAAACACGATAGTTTTTATAACTAAAGTTGATAAAGATGAAAGGAATGAGAAAACAAAAAAAGAAAACTAAGCAGTCAAACCGAACTAAATCCATGATAAATGTAAAGGGTTGACTAGTTTCTTTTGAATACATAACTCCAGCTTTTCGATGCATATGACTAGGGTTTCTACAGTAAAGAGAAGTCGGGAACACACTGCCTTTGGTAGATTTTTGCCTACTTTGTAAATTACTCTGAATGCTGTGACAGGTGTTGACGAGGTGTTCAATTATGGTGCTTCTCATTGAATCAGTACCGTCTTTTTGCATCCATGTTAGGTAGTGTTCTCTAACTCGTTTCGAAAGGACGCGTATCAAACAAACTATGTACTTAAATCCACAGGAACAGGTGGTCTGATGTATGCACATAGGGGTTGGCATATGCGAGAGTCTATCCTTCTTATTGCTTAGAAGCAGAATATCATTCTTAGTATTTTTGTAGGGGAAGTCTTCTTTTGGGTTCTAGATATATATGCCGCTAAGTTACTCCTGAAGTCCAGATTCGTATACAGTATTTTCTCAAAGATATATTAACTGGCATATTTTAAGCTAATTCTCCTCACTGTTATATCACTATGTGAGTCGTGCATTTTATCGATAGAAAAGGCGAAAAAAGATCCATCCACTCCAGCATTTACGCGTAGATTTTCGCTCTTCTAAATTAAAAGCAATAAAACTAAGTGACAGTCAAATTAGGATTAGCTTTAATTACTTATTCTGTCTGCTAGAGTCAGAATTCTTCAACCACTTCCAGTTTCTTGAATACTACCGTAGGAATCTGGACACATTAAGAGGGGAGTACTGGTCCAAAGCAACTATTTGTCGTTCATCGACTGACTAGTTTTCAATTTATTCTAAAACTAGAAAACACTGATCGGTGAACAAAGGCTTTTGGAAATCTTGTGTTCCAATGCTATATCTCTGTCACGCATAGCTTTTTAGCAGTGGTTATTGATTAGTGAGTTTGTCGGTCGTGTATAGATTTCAATAGATTAGCTGCACTGTTAACTCAGCTAGGTTTTAGTGTGACAAGTACAAACAAAAAGATTGAGTAAGTGAGCAATATGTGCGTCGGTAATTCAGCGTACTCCGGGGTCCGATTCGCGACTAACTCACTCATTTACCTCCATTGACTGTGGTAGTAAGCTCGATAATTAGGTAAAGTTAGGCTAACAACCCCATCCCAGTCCAGGCTTGAAGTCCTATGTTTCACTCGAGATGCAAAGGAACTTAAAAATTGAGCGATATAAAAATATCCCTCATGTGCGTAGTTCTATCAAAACTAAAGGCAGTTGAGTCTAAATCCAGAGAATTTTACTACTCGGTAGATATACTTTGACAAAAGCATATGTCATTTCGAGTGGTTGGATTTCACAAATGTTCGTAAAACGTTATTATCATTACAAAATAACTCAAAGAAACGAAATTAGTAAGAATAAAGCGGATAATACAGTAAACAGATACTTGAAGACTAGTCAAAGCGTTGAAGATAGTAAATCATAAATAAGTCATCTTTGTATCAGAAAAAAAGGCTTACTTGATTTATGCCTGAATATTTTTTGTTAATTTCGAAGTTCATACAATCGAATACTTGTGAATCATGTTAACTTTTCAAATTTTCATAGTATTTAGATTTCCTCATAAGGTATATATTGCCTTCTAACTTTGCCGTAAATTTTTGTTCCTTCCACAAATTTCAGGTTGTTGACCGCTCGAATTATCGTTTCAGACATTGTCAATTTATGAAGTATTCTGTAACACCTCAAGTTCCAACCAGTCATCCCTCATCTACTACAAATTCTAAGGATGAAAATAGTAATAACGTCGAGTCTATGTTAGTTACTACTCTTCAGCCTTTATGCGCAAATCGGCGGAGTTTTAGTCGTTTAATTGTTTGGTCAGTTCCCCATGCTTCTTCGTTGGGTTCTGAATCATCAGGTAGTGGAAGAATCCATCAACCGGTTCAGCTTAATGCCTTTGCAGAGATTACTCTTCCTCAAGGACATTTACCTGCCTGTTTGGCTGTCCATCCTAGTCGGTCACGCGGTCTGATTGCCGTGGGCACTATGGAAGGGCGTGTTGATGTTTACTTGTGAGTTCTATTACACTGATTTTTAATATACAATCAAAACCATTTGATTGCCAGTTTTACACACTTCATTATAATATTTTTCTAGAGGCATATTTACAATCAAAAGTGGTTAATGACTGCCCTAATGTGAATAAACTGCTGTTGTATGGGTCAAAAGGTTTTAAGTATCAATGAAGTTTCCCTTGTGCTATCGAACTTTAAATGTAGATCCTTGCACAAAACTTCAGCAGGTCAAGTCCTCACACACTGCATAGCACACAAAAGTAGAGGACTTTGAGCTATGTTACCAACAGTCTAGAACCATTGACTCGCAGCATTTTGGGTACATCAGGCAGCGTACACCTCCCTATATGGCTGGCTAAAAACAACAGTCAAAGGTGTGGTAGATTAATGCAGTGTTTTGATTTGACCACCCGTAACCCTATTCAAGCGCACTCAGAAGTTTGCTCCGTCCTCCTTTTTGTTTGTGAGACATAACCATTGGAAGCGGAAAACATGGAGAGGCTAGCTGTCTTTGATCATAGGTATCCGCGTTCTACCTTCTGTGTTAGGTGGTATAATAGGGTGAGTAATATTAAGCTTAGGCGTCGAGTGTTAGGTAAGGAGGGGAAATCAGTCGACGAGGTTGTGAAATTACATCGACTGAGATGGTTAGGATATGTATTAGGCATTCTGACTTTCGATCTGGTTAGAAAGGAGCTAGCGGTGATCACACTTAACTTTAGCATCAATCCATGAAATCTTTGACAGTTTGAACCACATAGAGAAGCGTATACTGCCTGATTGGGGTCCTCGGAAGTCTATGAACTAATAGCTGGTGATATGGCCCAGTCTTTTTCACTGGCGCAAATACATTTACTCTCTGTGAAATACCGTATCCAATAAAGGCGTAATGTTTTCAGATGTTGCTATTCTTTTCCACCTACATTTCTGCTTATTATCATCCTTTCGAATCTCCCTTTTTTCTCTTTTGTCTTCCTTTGTATGCTACATTGAGTATGGCAACTCGAACTGCTGTACTTCTTTGCAAAGTTCTATGTTGAAAACAGTTAGTTGGCCATTGAGCCCATTCTTATCTGGTGATATGTTTCGACGAGGAAGATGATGGCTTGGCTGGTGTAGCATGTGTTCTCACCATCAAAACCCTATTGATTAATTTACCCTCCTCACCTAACACTACGCCTAGTGTCAATATTATTCACCAAATGATACTACCAACAAGAGATGAATATATGGCAAGCATCTATGGTTAGTGATAATTAGCCTCTCTAAGTCTTTCACTTTTAACAGCCACGTCCCACAGTTATAAAGAGGGACAGAATGAACTGCCGTTCAACGCACACGTGATTTGTTCGCTAACCGGATAGTATGTCTATGCGAGAGATTTTTTCCACAACCATGGAAGCTATAACAGATGAAAGGTAGAAAATATCTCGGCTGTTTTGAGGAGGTCTCTAATGAATTCAAATGAAAATGTTGGTCATAGGTGTTGTTAAGCAGAAAGATTATTGTTATTGTTAATTAAAATTGAATATGTGCTTCAGGTTTCTACATAGTTGTATGCACTGGAATACTACTTCACTAACTGTCTATAGGACTGGTTGCAAAACAAACTCCGTACGACATAAGGTTGCAGAGTAACTGAGTATGTCTCTCATGTGCTTCTTTAATACTAACACTTACATAGTCATGCTAAAATTAAATGAATTTTCAGACAGTTTTCTTAAGAAAATCTCACATGGACTTCCATCGAGATTTCCTCATACTGATAGTCACTTGTTTAAGACACACTGCTCATTAAATTGTCTGGCTAGCAGTGTGCTTAAGATCCGGTATTGGGTTATCCTCAAAACAGGGTTTCTCATAATGGCTATTATTATTATTTACTAGATTGAAGTTATGCAAGTGGTGTTAGATTAGTGGTTAGTTTACTATCAACTGAGTCTTCCTACTTCCATTTGATAGTGGCAATATATTCAGTCTTTTACTAAAAACCTAATGGTCACACGTGTATGAGTGGGCAGATGAATGAAAAATGAATGTCAAGCGTGTATATGGTTTTGAGCCGTAGATCTGTGCAATATCTGTTAACAAGTTATATGCCTTTAAACAGTAAATCGTTACATGAAATTGGCTGTATAATTTATTTTTTCCCTGGTTGGTTTCCGAATGGACAGCACACCTCCATTTTACCCTGTTCTCTGCAGGCCTCTTCAAGTTGCTCTACGACTGCTCTTAAGGTCTTCTTCTTCCTTCCCGACCGAAAGCTGCTGCTTTGACGTGGTGGTCGGGCTTGAACACCGCAATGGCCTAATCAAGCTATACTGGCTGAGACTTATGTCTTTTGAGGTCCTACCATGCCAGGCAGGTTGTTTGGATAGTAGTTAAACAAAAAGCAGCTACCCAATCCAACATCATGATCAATACAAAATCACAAAATTTCATGCCGGATCGGTTGTGGCCCGGATTAACAACGACCGCGCTTCCTGCTGCCGTGTCACAGGGCAGGAGTGATAAGTATGCTACTGAGGCACACCAAACAAAAGAGAACGAACAAAAACAGGCCGCGTGTGACCGGCCTCAAGCAGTTGTCCCCTGGGCTCTGCGGTCACGCAACCAACTTCCACGGTGTGGGCAACCGGGAAGTAACAATCGCCCTCACAATCCGAAACGCACGCGAAACCTCTTCCTTCTCACACTATTTTCCTCATGTCACTCTTGGACCTGTAGCCCATCGTTTTCTATTCAAATTCCACTTGTAGGCCTGTCTGTCGTGTGATGTCACTCAACGCTCCCCTCAGCGCGCTTGTCCAATCCATGTTTATTTCCTTCGGGTATTCGTTTGGCGATAGGTTCTTGACTGGATGTTTATCTGCCAGAGTTCCCCATCACTATTCATTCCTGGTCGACCATCTGATTTTCACTATGGAGCAAAGGAAAGTGTTGATGGGTCTAGAGTCTGTTGGAGATATTTTCTGTGAAGGGCAAGTGAATTGTCTATCACTATATGGAAGTACTCAGTGACTAGATACCGATGTTGAAGATCCGGATCTTGTTTCTGATACTGAGTGAAAGAGATGTCAACCCTGATTTCAGGTAAGTGATTATGTAGGAGTTAAAAATCTAACAAAATATGCAGCTGTCTGTAGTAATACTTCACAATAATGACTGTTTTTATATGTATATTATATTTCAGCTTGTCACCGTGCAATCATCGTTTGGTCAATGTATACTCCTTAAAGAATGCTCATCCAATATTTGTCACTGCACTAACCTTCTTACGACAAGATTCATCATTGTCTACACAGAAATTTCAAAAGACCAACTCAAAAACTCATCTGAAATCGGATTCCTTCGATTTAGTCAGTGTTAGCGTAGATCGATTGGTTAAATGGCATCGTGGGCCAACTTATTCAATTGTTGGTAAACTATCACGAGGACTTATTGATATGCATAATAATAATAATAATAATAATTGGTTTAGGCATATTATTAATGCAAAAGTTGGCATCTCTATAATTTACTTCCTCGGCATATTAATGTTACCAATTCTTTTGGTGTTGTTTGAGACTATCTTGTCTAAATTTTAAATAGTGTATCTTATTTTCAGAATGTACTCTGTTTGTTTGTATTCATATGATATGCATATCTATGCTATATATATACATATATGTATATTTTCTGTTTCACACATGCAGACGTGCGCGCGCATACAATTATCATAACCAAATGTCTTTCATTATCTAGTTATGAGTGATTACTTACAACAGATGATACCTTTATTCTATCAAAATCTGGCTAATCTCTCTCTCTCCCTCTCCTTTAATCCAATTCATTTGTCTATATACAATTAACTGATTCTCTGGATAGTTTAGGCATGGAGTTTGTACACAAGATGATTTTTATTATTATTATTATTCGTTTTACTCTTTATCTTTTGTCGTCTCCACCCTCATCCTCATTATTATTGTTGATTTCGCTAATATTTAAAAAAATAATAATAGTAATTTTATTGTCTTACTCCATGTTGTTAATATATTTATCAGCTCTATCAGTTTACTTGATCTCGATTATTGTTATTATATTCCTCCTCCCCTCCTCCTCATTATTATTATTATTAATATAAATAGGTGAGTAAAAAAGAGTGAATAAATTTAACACCACAGACATTTTTGACCTATCTGTGATCTCTTTTTACTGAATAATATTCACATATTGTCACAGTTTATTTCTCCTTCACTATTTAAAAAAAAAATAATACTAATAATAAAACTCGGTTCCTTCTTTTCTGTGTGTCAGGTTTGTTTCGGTGGTAGTGTATTGTGGAAATTAGGATATACTACTGTGTGTATGTGTGCTTGTTTGTCTGTGTGCATGTGTGTGTATGTATGTACGTACGTATGCCATCACTTCATCGTTTTGTTTTCTAATATATGAGTTTGTACGTTTGGAAAAAAGACACATTTTAAATTGATATTTTGTTTTCTTTCTTTCCTTCTTCCTTCCTTTTATTTCATTTATTTATTTGTCTTCTACGATCATAATGATGATGATATATACATTTTTTGACTATTCGAATTAAAGTGATTGTAAGATTGTATTTTTTGTTTTGTTTAACGTACTTATATAAAGTGGTCAATACTTGATCATCAGTCATCAATTGAGTCTGAATCCGGATTAACTCTGAGACGACTGGATTGTTGAAGTTTCTGTAGCGGTTTGGTTAAGTTTTGGGAGTGGAGTTACTAGCACCACGCCTCAACCCTCCCTCTTTATCCGGGCTTGGGACTGGCTAGAAAACTTGCGAGCTAGTAATCTAGGCGAGGTTCGACTGGATTGTTAGTGGGAATATTTTGAGAAGCAACTCAACTGGCCTACAACAACAACTACTACTACCGATAAATGTACCTTAATGTGGTGGTTGGGATTACCCATTGCAACGACTCAAATAGCTATACTGGCTGGAATACACATGTCCTTGCATATCCTACGACGTCAGAAAGGTCTCTTGGATAGTGGTTATACTGACAGCAGTTATCACCATTGTTTAATTCATTTCCACAACTTTGGGGTCTGAGGGAGAATGAGAATATTGTCAGCAGTAAGGTGTTTCCTAGCTATGCTACCTCTTCGTTTTAAAGCGGTGGGTTAGAAACGGTCAACCCTGAGAATTGCACATCCCCGCTTACCTTGTGGTGTTCTACGGTCGGTAATAAGACCTTTATACAGAGAAATCTTCAGTTAAAACAAGCCGGTGTTAAGCAGTTGTCGTTCGGGCTATGTGGCCACACACACACACACACACACAACTTTGGTTTCAGATATTCCAACTTCCATGGTGTGGGTAGCTGGGAGGGGGGGGTGTAATAAGCGTCTATAAACTTGCATAATCACTCATAGGTTTCTTAATCATCATTCGCATTCATATTCCTACTTTTCTGTCATCGTTAATACTACTCCACTTTCAACTCTACAATCAGTAGTAGTGATCTGAGCCGGAAAAAGACTTCTGGAGGTCTCTAAAAACTATGCTGTCAACTTCATCTTCGAGTATTCAATATCAGGACACTTCGTCAAATTGAACGACAGACCTCACTAGGTAGTACCCAAGCATCACGAGCCGTTTGGAGTATGTCAAGTTTTGCAGATATGCATATGATCCCTAGATGTAGTTATTTACTAAACCTCACATGAGGAATCTAGAAAATTCACCTTACGGATATCAAAAGACTCTTCGTCTAGTTCGCAACAACTTGTTGGCGTAGGAAAAGTACCCAGTGCCAGGGCAGGAAAGCCATTACTTGACTGAATCCCACTGGATAATCACCAACGTGCTGTTCGGGATTTCATCATGAGCTGACATTAGTTAGAGGACCATTGGGAAACCTGGGAGTACTGGACAGCTGTTTCGTCTTAGTTTGGGACTCTTCAGCAGTACGCACCCACCGGGATTCGAACCCAGGACCTTATGGTTATAAGGCGAGCTCGTATACCATTAAGTCACTGGGATCCGATCCAATGGTCCAACCTACCTATTCAGGTAGGTAGTTACCTGGGTTCCAATGGGAAGTCGTGACCAGTAGGGTACAGTGGGTCGGGTTTGAGGACAAATACTCGCCGAAGACATTGGCTAGCGGTCGCGCTATGTCGTGAATTAGCAGAAGTTAGAATTCAAGGACCATTGGATCGGATCGCAGTGGCTCCCAGGTTTTCCAATGGTTCTCTAACTAATGTTAGCTCATGATGAAATCCTGAAACCAATCAAATTCCTACAAACCAACACTTGAACGTGCTGTTCGGATGGATGGTTCCGTTGGAAGTGGGTAAGTTTACTATGTTCGTTAGCGTCTTTACATAACATCATCATGGATCCTCTAATGAATATCCTCGTAATTGACTCCAATGACTTGGAGATTCACTCGTTGCCAGTCTCCTATATTTACAGAATAAAGATGATGTATAACTCTCTGATGGAGACGCTGAAAAGTGCAGTCTTCTGAACACCATGAGCAGAGAGATCTGAGCAGGTCGAGTAAACGATTCATCCCTATCACCAAATGTTAGACAATGTTGCAGGACTTGTTTACACAAACTCCTAGTTTGAAGATGGGTGAGAGTGAAGTGGTTGGATGTGTTGACCAATTCAATCATTCTGGGAGTTGCATCAGCCCAAATGAAGTGACTGGTTTCTGACGAAATCTCAGAATGGGTACAAAAGACACCTGTGGGATCCTACCAACTCACGTCGTATCTCCTGTAAACAAACATGTTTTCTGGCTGTCGATCAAGCCATTTGTGCGCTACATAACAGTTCGCCTTCTCCGTCCTCATGACTGTAGGACCTGGTTATTAAAAATGCAAGACTTTGACGTGAGGAGGTTGGCTGCCATTGACGAGAAGTGTTTATCATCTATCCATCTCCCGTGTTGAGTGACAATATATGACGACTAATATTGAGGTTATGACGGTCGTGAGATTCTGTCTGTCTGTTTTCGACATAGAACTTTGCACAAATAGGCGGAAGTTCAAGTCTCTACACTCCGTGTAGCACGCGAAGCAAGAGAAGAAAGTACAAGAAAAGCATAATAGAAACAGTGAGCAGAGGTGTGAGACAAAGGAAGAGTAATAGCGAAGAACAAAACAGTTTCATTGGAAATCATAAGTCACAAGGAGTGGATGCATCTGCGCCACTGAGAACGATTTTGAGCTAGCCATGTCACCAATTGTTTCCAACCATAGATTTTTACCGTCCCGAGGACCCCAGCCTGGAAGTCTATACCTTCCTACGTGGCTTAGACTAAACTGTTGTGGATTTCATTGACTGGTGCCAAGTTTTTGTTTGACCGCCGCTAGCTTTTTTCCAGCCTGACCCTATATCCGCTAACATTGCTCGTCGAGGGAGGCGATGGCTTGGCATACGTAACACATGTCCTAACCATCTCAGTCTTTGTAGCTTCACGACTTCGTCGATTGATTTCCCCTGTTTACCTAGAACTCTACGCCTAACCTCAGTGTTGCTCACCTTATTATGCCACTTTACACGGGAAATAGAGCGCAGGCACCTATGATCAAAGACAGCTAGTCTTTTCATGTCTTCCACTCTCAGTGGCCAGGTCTCACAACCATAAAGGAGGACGGAGCGGACTGATGAGCAGTACACCCGCCCTTTGGTCGATAGTCGAACATCTCGTCTACGCCAGAGTCGGCGTAAACTAACAAATGCGAAACGAGCCCCTTGTATTCGTGCTGAGATTTCGTCAGAGATCAACCCGTTGGGGCTGATGGTACTTCCCAAATAAGTGAAGCGGTCAACGTGCTCTACCACTTCACTTCCTATTTTTAAACTAGGCGTCGATGTAGTCCAGTCCTGTAATATCATCTTGCATTTGGCGGGAGCGAATCGCATGCCAAACATTCGTAGATTGCGGCTCAAGGTGTTTAGAAGACTCTGCATTTCGTCAGCGTCTTCGCCTAGAAGGACTATATCGTCTGCATATTCCAAGTCAACGAGATTATTCCCCGGTAGCAAGTCAATCCCTGAGTCGCTGAAGTCACTTAGGGTTAAGTCCATTAACACATCTATGATGAAGTTGAATAGAAAAGGAGATAATGGGCATCCTTGACGGACACCACTGGTCGTCATCAGTTCAGATGACAGCTCGCCGTAAGCCCTCACCTGGCTGTATGAGTACGAGAGTCGTGAGATTACATCGAATGAGATGGTTAAGACACAAGTTACGCATACCAATACATCATCGACCTAGTTGAGTCATATTATCCGACTTAGGAGTTAGGAATGGGTTGAACGGAAAGTATTGATGGTCAAATTAAAACACCGCATTAATCCATCAAGTCTTTGAGTGTTGTTTCCAGCCAGCCATATAGGAAGGTGTAGACTAGTTGGTTGTTAGACGAACTGGGGTTATCGAGATGCTAAGAATCAATAGTGGATGTAGACTGTTGGTGACATGACACGACCTAAGATCCCTCTTACTGGTCAGGGTCCATTCCTTCTTTATCAACGACCCCTAGATCCATCAAAATCTCGTTACTTTATGTGTATTTATTGTTCCTCCCGTTCATTTATGCCTATAATAGTTGTTTCTTTGAATAATTTTTCTACCTTTATGTGGCATATGGTTTGCGGTGACTCGGTTTGCCGCATGTTTTTGCAGTCGTGTCTGGCTTGTCTTGAATCCCTCTACTGCTGTTTCCATTGCTTTTTCTGTTCACCATAATGGCGCATTTGATTGTAATTTTTGTTTTTTTCCATTGGATATCATTGTACTTTTAATATATATATATATATATATATATATATATATATATAATAGGTGTGTTGTGACCTCTGTTTTTGATCACTGTGAAATTAGCCATGTTTTATTTGATAGAAACAGGAGGTGCTTATCGTTGCTTCCAGAGAACTTACTTAACGAGTTGTTCTATTATTTGTTGTATGTATCATTCACTTTGTAAGTATTACTAATTAACCTTTAAACTAATATAGAATAATGTTCGGCAACTCCTGTATATTTAGTTGAACAGCGTCATATTCCAAATTTTGGCAGAATATGTTGTGTGTCTACATCCTTGAAACACAGCTTCCCATTATTTTGCACAATAATGTCATTTGTACTGTCGAAATACAGATAACTTCGTAGTTGAGTTAGAAGACTTAGAAACTCAAGACTCTATATGGATGGGTAGTTAGTGTGTTTAACGATGTTGTAGAAAGGTGCGAAAAATAATCTGCTGGCAAGATTCCGGGTGAGGTAAACTGTAGACAGTTGGATGGAATATTGAAAAAAAAACATGAAATTTCGGGAATCATAGGATTGAGTATCGAGGAAAAGACACAGATATTTTTGACAGATGTGCAATGTCTTATTAAAGTGAGTGAAGTTTAGTTGTAGAGTTGACTGCCATTACATTCTGTGTTTGATGATGATGCGCAGTGCTGCAACTTGGTCTACACATAATTTGCTCCCCTTAGTTCAGGCTCTTTCTGGTGAAATTTTCCAGTCTCTCCAAGAATGTATGATTTTAAATTTTTCTTCGAGTGGATAGGAACATTATTCCAGTTCTTGTATAAGCTTAATTCTCCCGTCTTCGGCAATATAACAACTTCCAGCCACCAGGCTAATACTT